ACTTTCCGAATGAAATTAGAAATGAATTTTCATGAAAAGATTTTAATCAAGCACGCGTGCCGATTTCATTATTCAAATTGAACGGTTTTGAAACTCGGTTTTTCTGCGAGAAATTTTGTTTGTCCAGTGAATTGTGATAAAGCGTCGAAGGCTTTCAAACTGACATTTAAAATAGGCTGAAACTTTCGGTTGACTTTGAAATGACGCTCGAAACCCTTTGGGAATTAATACGCAAATTCTCTTAAACATTCCAGGAACGTGTGCCTCCAGCAGTAAACTTTGCACGGGTACTGCGTGCGATTATTTAATATTTCGCGCGGCTGTTGTATTCGGCATGCGGAGTTAAGTTTCCCGGACGAAGATAATGAGTGGTGATATTATTGCGAGTAATCACGGACGAAAATTGTTTCTGTCTTAATACGTACACGTCGCGCGCGTAATTGTGTGAACGTCGAGGCTCGTAAGACGTCCAAAATTGAGAAAAGCACGCGTGCAGAGTGTATGCAGACGTTTATAGACAACATTTTGCAACCCATAAGCGCCACGATGACCTAATCGCCGGTCAGCAAATTTAATTCTCCGGCGTGAAACAAAAGTGAAATTACGGAATTAACAGTGGAAAATGACGCGAGTCTGTTGAAATGCATTACGAGAGTAGTGATTCTATGAAATATGGGTGTGCTTTGGCGTAAGAACGGCGGAAATCTACGAGGAAGAGAGAATGCAAAAAGTAATAAAACGGCGATATTGAATGCCAAGTTTCAATTTCACCGCAGAATTTCGCTCGGTAAAACAAAATCGAAGAAGGCAATTCCCTGAGACGAAGGCGAGTGTTCAATTCATTCAGCGAGTGACAGCGACGACGGGAAGTTTCATAATTCTACGCGGTTCCATCACGGTACACGTTCACGGAACAACACATCACACACACTATGACGATCCTACGTTGCGAGCTTTGTCCTACAAGTTTGTACTGTTTGCGGTGCAACTTGAAACTCGTGGCGGAGATTACCCGGTTATAATTGAAATTGGCTATGCCTGGACTTATAAGGAATATACGTGCTAAAGGTGATACACTTCTATTCAAACGTTCGCGCGGCGTAATCGGCCGAGCAAGCGAAATTCGGTTTAATATTCACCGCGTTACCGATGGAATTACTTTAATTTACATGGCGTCTAGTCTACGTAGAATTTCATCCACGTGCCATCCATCGACTATGTTATTTGCCGATCGAGGGAAATTTTGCACGCGAAATTAACTCTATCGCGATTCCATAAATACGAGTGACGAATGAGTTCCATGGAGCTCGTTAAATGCCTCAGTGAAATATAAGCAGACGAACACGCAACGAACACGCTCAGCGATGTAATTTGCGATAATATACGATAAATTCGTCGATCGTTTGTCAAGTTAATCTTTGGAGAGAAATAATAATTGTATGTTCTAATCTGTTTCGTCGAAGGCTGCGCGATGAAATTATAATGACTAGAAAAAGAGAAGGAAGATCGTCGAAAGGCAATCAAAGGCCACGTATGCCCGAATTGAAATGGCAGATACATTCGTCGCGATACTGTTGACCTTTATTCATTTCCTCCCTATGAAAAGCGGGAGATTCTGACCCGGCGCATCAATAAAACGCCATCGAAAAGAAATAATTTGCGGTAGAGCAGCGCGAGCGGTTGAATCACAAAGTATTTGAGAAATGAGTGCTTCGAAAAGGCAGAATTTCTCGTGGAATGAATTAATTGCACCTTTCTGACCAGGCGAAAGCGAAGGTAAAACGAAGATCGCTACAGCGCGCGTATTTGAAGAAGGAGACAATATCTGCTTCTCGTTCTTTTTCTCCGACGTTCTTTCTTCAACGCGTAAATTTTTTCCCCCGAGAAATTCTATTTCGCCCCGCAGAGCAGATAATATTTATAAACGATCTCAACGCCGCTATCGGCAATGAAAGCAGTAAGTACATACACTTCATTCGCCTTATATCGTATATTGTAAACAATAACTCGGCGGCGCCACTAGAATTTTCCAAAGACCACGGGATAGTGGCCCGCGGAATTGAAAGGAAAGCTTAAAAACCGATTTTCCATTCGCCGGGGAAAGCATCGTCCAAACGACGATAATTTTGTTTCCCCAACGTCGTTGACGTCCTCCCATTCATTTTCGTGGAAAGTGGAGGGAATTGACGTGTAAAACGGAAAACCATGGCGCGCTCTAGTCTCCACGCTTGAATGCAACTTTGAATATGAGTTGGAAACAATTGGTTCCTTTAATGAGATTGGCCATGGATGTGTACACACACACACATATACACACACACACACATCAGCCAGATATGTTTGTACGCGCGCGATTCTTGCCCGGCGCAGCGCCAATCGTCGAGCGAAATGTTATTAACCTGATTGGCAGCGCAAAAATACTTCTAGCTGCCGGTTGACACCGGCCTGGTTCGTTGCACCCGAAGTTAATTAACTAAAACTACGCGTAAAATTTCGCGAAACGCATACTCATGTTACATACACACGTAAATACGTCCGATGATTACGCGTTATATTCGAAATAAGCAGATGATCCTAAAATGCGTTCGCGCGCAAGAACTTGCACTTTGCTTCGGGCTGTTGAATAAATTTATGCAAAATGCACGTTACGTTCTGAACGAATGACTACTACGTGCAGACGATGCGGGTAACTGCTTCAAGATAATCTCTTCGTTGACGATTTGGAGATTATACTGGTAAAAGCTTCTTTTGTAGCACGTTTCAAACGGAACAAGATGGCGTTGGAGGTTGCTGCAGGTAATGTAGTTGCTTTTGTAATATTTTAACGGGATTTTTAATAATTACGCGTGACCGCTCGATGATCGAAACTGAACTACCTTGCTCAAACGAATATCATGTCTAAATTAAAAATGTACGATAAAACGTATTGAAACTGAAACACGAGGAAGTTTAAATATCAAGATTTTATATGTCAAGTTTAATTAAATAATAAAAAGACGAAATAATAAAATAATAACAAACACGCGGAGGAATTTCGCAAAATTCGCGTCTCAAACGTGACGGTCCTTCCCCGGCAACATTATTATTTTAATTAGATATCATTACTTTTAATTAGACAAACGAGACTGTTACTAAGAAAGATTTTACAGACGAGCGAGTTGGATGAATTTAATGTCACATAGAAATAATAGGTCGTCGTAAAATTACGTAGCTTCTAATTTTTCATGGACGACCTGGATCGACTTTAACTTTAAGAATATCAATGAAATGATAATAACCGCTATCCGGGAAGCTTGCTTCGGCAGCTATTTTCACATTAACTTTCCATGAGATTCAACATCATCGGACGACGGCTTATTGATTTTCATTGGCACACGCTATACTGGTCTTCTAATACTATGTACAAATACGAATAATCCTTCGATTATTCGGATCAGATGCTCGAGATGTATAATAATGATTGTAATAACTATTATGCGATGTTATTTAATAGTATCCACATCTCCTCTCAATTATCATGGTATAATTATAGATCAAATCGATTCGTGTTATCTGCAAATAGCTAGTAGAGTCCGTAACCGAAGCACGTCGTTAATGCACGTCGTTTAATGTTGAACGAAGTACGAAAAATTCAAGAAATTTAGCATGCGCACGGAATAACTGGTATAATTCAGTTCTTTCTTTTTAATTGTTGCTACGTCACGAACAGGACTATACAACGAAGAAAGAGAAACTGCTAGGATAACTATGTATTTATTTCTTCGACCGCGCAAACCTTACGATGAAAACATATTTTCACGATGAAACTCAAATTCAATCGCAATAACTATAACTAGACTGACGGAGGAAAACGTGGTGAATTCACCGAACGTAAATAAGTTTGCAAAATAAATCGTTTTAATGCTCGTTCGCTTTTGTTCCGGTCCTACGGCCGCGGACTAAATTGTTGTTGCCTTTATAATTATCATCGCTGGCTACAGAGTTAAGTTTATTAGCTGTTAGCGTTGTCCGGCAGCTTAGCAATGTACGTGGCGAAAATAAGGCCAGGATTGCAACAAACAGTGCTCGGTAAATATTCCCGAATAAGGCTGTTCTAAATCCGACATTTCGCAGATCAAACGATGCGGAGTGTTGAACGAGTATAAGTAACGAAACAGTTGGCGAAACAATGAATACTAAATGCTTGTTATTTTTGCTTTCCTTACTAAGTTCGATAATACATCATTCGTTACAATCGTAGGTAATGTCTTTCGCGGTTCAAATATTCATAGGTTGGAATACAGAAACACAATACGCTCCTTTAGTACGAAAGGGAAGCAAGGAACTACGTATTCATTCATACCGCGGTTGTGTAACATTCTTCTCTTTTTTTTTTTACAATCTTCCACATAGTACGCCAGGGTGAAACCAAGGGACGTAAAGAGGAATAAATCCGCTGTTTAATAGATAACCAGGTCGTCGCCCTCGAGAGGTCGACAAGGCTTTTGGCAAAGAACGAGCAAAGAAGAAACGAAGGCGGGGAGATCCGTCTTTCCGAGGTGCCTACGTCTAGTAAAGAAGCTGTGCAACGTGTGCAACGTGTTATAAAAAAAAAGTAGAACGAGGTCAAGGCGGTTCGTCGTTCCTTTTTTCACTGGAAGAAAATTGCCTTCAGCCAAAGCAACTTTTTGTTGTTGTTGTTGTTGTTGTTGTTCTTGTGGAAATATTATCTAACTTTGTAATTTATTGTATTTTCGAGTTCTTCACGGACAGGAACAAACTATAGCGTCGTTTGATGTACGATCAACCCTGACGTAGTTTTCGTCGTTGGATACAAAAAACAGCGATGCACTCGCCGACGCAATTTCAACTTGTATTTACAATTTATAGTTGCAACTTGTGCTGCGGTATATACAGCAACATTCATCACTCTACCGCGAAACAACTTTCTTCGAAAAAAAGAAAAAAAATGGGAACTTAAAGGTGTAATATTTGTTCACGTATGTCCCTGGACAGCTTACCTGACACGCTTCACGTTCTTTCCGCATTCGCCGATTCCGTGTTTGAACATTGTCCATTTCTCCGAAATCTTGAAGCGCTCTTGAAGGCTTTGAGTTCCGCACAATTCCATTAAGACCGCGGACAATGTCTCTTAAACGTAACGAGGAACGTTTCGCACTTTCTGTTCGGCACAGTTTTCTTCAATCAGAAATGGGTATGGTAGAGTTCGAAAATTTTCCCTCGTTTCACGATGCACATTTCGATGGCGCAGTCCTCCGTTCGATTTGCATAAAAATATTTATATATGTAGATCGTCGTACAAGCGACGCGATGGATAGTTATTTGGGAAAACGCGGTTCACCCGCTCGAGAAGAAGCGACGTCCCTTCGAATTCGTCGTCGAGGCACTCGTTATCGATCAATGCGTGGGACTGATGATTGCAGAAATTGGAAGAACGATCGCCTCTTCTCGAAAGTATCGCGCCTCGCCTCCGCGCCTTCTTTCTTCACCGGCGAAACGTCCATTGTAAATAATTACGTCGCGACGACCGTTAACGAGAGACCGATCTCGACGTTTACTGCAAACGTGGCGAGTCGTACGCTCGAAACTCCTCGAGGCTCCAAGCCTCTCGATCACGAAATGTCACTTGCACGCAATGGCGTGCCGAGGATAGAAAAATGACCAACGTCTCGTTGCCAAAATAACACGCCTCGACGTGTAAGATTTCTTTCACGTTAAACTCGAACGCACGTCGTCGGCCGAATTTTCATTGTTGTTCTCTTTCAACAGTCACAGAGAAATCGTGGATTAGTCCGGCACGATCTTTCTCCCCTTTGAATGCTCGCCCTAAAAAAGTGCAAAATGAAAAGCTGCACTTTATTGCTCTGTGGGGGGCTCTCGCTCGTTGCCACGGGATCACGAACGCTTGTGCTACACGGATTTAACTCTGTTCTTGCTTTCCGAAATTCCTTTTACATTTCATTGTTCACGTCCCTCCGGATAATCCCCTCCCTGAATATCCCTGTCAACTTACTAAATATGTTCGACCGCCTCATCCCCCCCAGCATCGAAAAGAATGTAATTTACTGCGCCGCGTCGTCGAAGGGAATCGTTCTACTTTGAAGTAGGCACGCGATGGATAGTTAGAAATTTCGTCAAAAGCGGGAAAGAGCTTGGCGAACTTATTTTTCCGTGCCAAAGTCAAACGATTCACCGAGACGAGATGGATACGCTTAATGCGCTCCGAAGAAACGACGCGTAAATATGTAAAAACGGTGGAAATACTCCTCCGAAAAAAATCTCACTACGTCGGGGAAATGTTGCGAGATTTTCAAAGCTCGGTCATTAGATAAGTTGTTTCGATCTAACTTGTTTTTGCATGGTATAGAAGAAGCGAGTGAGGATAAATACACGAGCGTGTTTCGGAGAAAGAAGTGAATTTTCCGTCAAGGCTTTTCCACTTCGTCGAGCGCGAATTTTTCTTCCACGTTCTTTCAACCGCTCTTCGTAACAAATCGCTGGCTCGATTTATATATATATTTTCCATCCCTGCGTGAGTTACGCCGGAAATTTGTATGTCGATGACACGAAAGAGAGAGAGAGAGAGAGAGAGAGAGAGAGAGAGAGCATTAGCAGAGAAGCACGAAATACAGATGAGGAGAAAATAAGAAACTCTAAGCAAACACCTGATACGGAACGAAGCGCAATTATGCTTTTGTCGAGGGATTATTTCCCTCTCTTTTACTAGGAAAAATAAGAAAATACAAATGTATTTCGCGCGGAGAGATGAAAGTTGAGAGACGAGAGAACTTGAACGAATTCTGGTGTATCGCTAGAATTTTTACAGCTACTACACTTTTGTTCGCGACGTGAAAACTTTACGACGAAACTCGTGTCTCGTTCCCGGCAACAGATATGGAACACGGTGCCACGTACGTTCTTGCGAAAATCATGCTGCTCGGGACAGCCAGCGCGTTTTGTAATTTATCTCGATATCCGCCATACCAGTTTTATCAGAATGACTAGTGCTTTCCGATAACAAGGTATCGACCTCACAGGGAGAGAACCACGAAAAAATTCCCGCGCCTGGCTGTCACTGTTTCTCCAGCTACAATTTTTCAGTTCCGCCATTATATTTCACATTATAGAACCTGGTTTTCTCCACTAAACTCCGCGAAACACGAGACGCTGGCGGGTCTTTTCTTCGTTCTTTATATTTTCGCTAATCGAGGACGACGATGCGGATTACGTATCACCGTAATTTCTTGCCGTGTGAAACGAACCGAATATTAAAGAGGGATAAAAGCGCGAGATTCTTAACGCGCTTTCAACGTCGTCCATCGGTTTACTGTTTGTTATCTCGTTACAATGGGGATGGCGCGTGTTGAGAGAAACTGAGGAACGCGAAATCGAGTTACCGAACAAAAATGAAATCTCGCTCAATTTGAATAGTTAATCAAGTTATCCGGGAGGAAGATAAAGAGAACACGTAAGAGCTATCGATCAAAATAAACGGAAAGCTCGACGTCCCTCGACGAAGGAAGTTACATCGAGAGGACTAAACTCGATGAAGATGTTTTCGAAACATCTTGCACACGCTGAGAGATTCAAAAAGACGAAGCTTCTAAACATAGCTCGCGATGTTTCTTCAAATCTAGATTGTGCAGCGAACATTCGTTCGGATACGGAACAATGTCTAAAACTGTTCAGAGATGAAATTCAATTTATCGAAACGTCTCGTCATTTTTCCTCCAAATACGGACCGCATCGACGTGTTTTGCATTGCGATCGCTATCACAGAAACTCTACACCACGATCCGACCACAAACTATTTGAAACATTCCAACCAATCATCGGAGGAGAAAGGAAAAGATATATCGCAAATCTAGTACAGTTTATTCGCGTGACGATCTTCGAGGAGACGAGAGTATGCGAAAAATGGAAAGAAAATTGGTAATCATCTTCGGAGAAGTTTCATAACCACTTTAATCTGTGGAATATGGAGATAAAAAAAGAGCACCATGGAGTGAATTCATGGAGGAAAACCGAAGAAGATGATGGTCAAAATGTTACTGAGCAACAAAATAAAAGGCCAACATTAGATAAATTATCGACACACGTGAAAACACGTACCCATTACAAGAAGAAAATCGCCGCAGACATTCTTGAAATATTCGAGATTGCGGCGCTTCTTGTTGGATAAGTCACCGATAACGAGTGAATTAAGATCTACGTGCTAACTATTACTAGCTTATCGAGCCAATTTAGCGATCAGAGAGCATATCAGCGTACTAAGTGTCGTACTTTCATAGCCGACAAAAGAAATAACTTGTGAATTCGATTACGTTCGAAGAAGCATCGTTGAAAAATCGTCACGGTTGTCCGTGAATGACGGAAACGAGGAAAATAAAAATAAAACGAACGATTGGTTACTGAATAGTGAATGTATAAATTGCAGTGAATAGAAGAGATCGTTTTAACGAAACGAATGCAATTCGAAATAAAATATTCTGAATGACGATGAAATTTCACTCACGTTGCAGCTACATATCGGCCGAGTACCAGTGGAAAAATAATAATTGTATAGAACTTACTGCTCGTAATGTCTTTAACCTTTCATTCTTACGTTAGGCTGTACATAGGGATACGCTGGAGTAGACTCGACGAGAGTAGAGGATTGCTCTTGAGGCAGAGAAGTGACACAGAGTAAAAGAATGATGGAAGAAGGGGAGAACATAAAGGAGAATATTTCAGTGTTATGCATGTCGGAATGTATTGTAGTAAGCCACAACACTGACTAATAACGCTCGTACGACCAGAGAGGGGAAATTACAATGGAACGTACGACACAATTTTCAATTAAATATGGACCAAAAATGGTTAATTTTACGATTATTTAGATAACGGCGTTGCCTAAGAGATATATTAATTGGGATAATTGAATCGAAATGCCTCAAACAGAAATTTCAACGATACAAATTACAAACTATAAACAACTCTGTAGACATATACATACAGAAATTGAAGTACCGCAAAAACCACATTCAGTCTAGTTGGAACGCTACTAATGACATTAGTGTTGTATGCTGGCATTGTTGCGAGTATCGCGTGAAGTTCACCGTTGCAAATGTCACGGTAATACATTAGAAATTATACGTATAATTTTCCTAACAAAATGTACGCGTTATACGCGGTTCGAACACACTGTACAACACGTAGATAAAATTATTTGTTCGGGATTTTCTAGCTTAGAAATAACTTGGAAATAAAGTCTCAAGATGTTGAGTTTATTACTCAAGCAGACGGAGCAACAGAGAGAGAGAGAAAGAGAGAGAGAGAGAGAGAGACAGAAAAAAAGAGTAAAACGCTTAAGCCAGCAACGAAGTCAGACCAGACTAGGAAGGAAGCAAGGTGCACGGGGTCATTGTCCTCAAAAGGCGCGTAGCGGTAGCGTCATATTTCTGCGAGAACCTCCGGCACACACAGTGAGTGGAGGATCGAAAATCCTGGCGAGCAACGAAACATTCTCCCCGAGAATTATTTACGGTTATCACACATACCGATCCATTAATACATGCAAGCGAATCGATAAATTTGGCTCCCGGGGTGACATTTACCGTTTCACTCGGGCATTTATCATCCACGCTCGAATGTACGCGAGAAGAGGAAACGAAGGAACAGAGGCAACGTCCCTGAGCATCGAAACGTCGTGTCGGGGGCCGGTGCGCGGTGTCACGCGTCACAACATTACGTTTATCGTCGGCTCACATGCGATCCGCACGCAGCAGGGATACTAAAGAACGATGACGAGAGAACGAAAGAAACGTCATGCCGAGTTGTATCGCGTTACGTCGTGTCACGTCACGTCACCAGCATTATTACATTTCTATCACACACCCACTACACGCCCGGTAAACGAGCACCACGGCCGATGCACGGCTTCTCTGTGTTCGTTTGCCTGCGGACTGGAGCGTGCCCCAAAGAAAAGAAAGAAAAAAAAAAAAAATAGAGGCAGTTCGTACCACGGCACGTTCTTTCAGGGCCGTACGATCGTTCGAGGGTAAGAGGTGTCAGAAGGAGGTGCTCAACGGGTAGAAGGGTAGAAAACGCGTCAAGTCCGCGTGTGTCTTTTGGGCTGCCGGTCCCAACGTTGACTGCACCATCGGACTCTACCGCGCTACTCGCAACCACCACCACCACTAGCACTACCTCCACCACCACCACCACTACTACCACCACCGCTGCCACCACAGCTACCGTTGCCGTCGTCGCTGCCGCCGCCGCCGCCGCCGCCGCCGCCGCTGCCGCCGCCGTCGACGACGACGCCGTCGGTTGGCGTTGGCTATCGATTTTTCCGCGCAGCCTCCGCGGCCGGAACATACACGCCGTCGACGTCTACTGGATAGTTCTAACATCGTCGCTTGCTACTTTAACCCCTTCTGATTCTCACCTGCCCCCTTGTTTTCCCTTCCGCTTTTCTTTATTTTCTAATGCTTTACCAGTGCCAGTCACTTTTCCATTGAAAAAAAAAAAAGAAGGAAAAAATGGACAAAGTTTCCCCAATAAGGGGAAACCTCTGCTTCTCCAGCTATCGGCTCCATTCGTTCAGAAATCTATTGTCACCCGGTTGTCGCTTTTCACTTTTTCTTTTCCCATGGAACTCTCATTTTCTCCCTTCTTCCTCGTTTTTTCCTCCACTTCTCTCAATTGCAGCTCGAACGAACTATCATGCTTTACTCTACTCGATTTTTCCTCGGTTATGAGCTTCACCGTTGCGTACATCGGTAATTCGTGGCCAGCGCTATTTAGCATCGTCGCGATTTTTTCGTTCGAGCCGCATCTTATTCGTCCCACTTAAGGATGTAATATTCCACCGTAATATAGAACAAAAATTGCTTTTCAAATTCCGTTATGTGTTCTCCAACTTTTTTATTGATCGCATTTCTGTTGATCTTTCTTCCATGGCCTCGTTACTGCAGAATCCGGCATCTCCCACCGACTTTATGAAGGGGTTACGTTCCTTTGTTTGGAATAAACGACGAATATGCTTTCAGTCATACAAGTGCTTACAAAGTAGTTTCACGTTCGACTTATTAATTACCTAGTCCCTGACTAGCCAGTGGCGAAGTATCTTCAACTTTTATTGAAATACATCATCGAGGTAGTTTTTACGGATAAAATCTACTCCGCATTTTTTCTTTTTCTTTCTTTTTTCTATCGTTCTCCCTATATAAGAAAGTTTTCAAACGTTCTTAATTTTTCTCTGTAGGGGAAGTCAAGCTAGCAACAATGAGTTCAGTGGAAAATGGGAGAACTTTCTTCAGAAAAACGCGGCTCAAAGGAAGACATTCTTATCCAAAAGGAAGAAACGTCTCCGCGATAGAATGCACGATCTTCTGGGAAGATTTTCAGGAGCAGAAAAGGTGAAGGATGAAGACTTCTTCTCTTTCACTTTCATATTATACGATCTTTTATTCGTTCCTCTACCCTCTCGTTCGTCAGTGGCTTCTACAAAGCCGAGAATGGCCGACAGTCGGCATTCTCGCTAACGAACGAGTCAAGAATCTACACCAAGATGTTTGCGTTCGTTAAACGGAACCGATGCATAAGATAAGACTGAATGAATCTCTCGACTCCGAAACTCCAAAACAGTCGACGGAAGCAGAAAAGAGCATGAGCTTAAACGTGTCCTTCAAATCTGACTTGTCACATTCGAAGAATCGTTTTTATTACTTAAAAAAAAAAAGTTTATTAACGCAACTAAATTGATGTTTGTAACTTTCGAAAAATTATAACTTCTGTCGAAGCACTGACAGTGAATCGAAAGCAAGGACTGCACGATAATTTATTATATGAATGAATCGAGGCGAAAAACACAACAGCGTTTGATGGTGTATTTTAGTTCGTAATAACTTCCGAAGTTTATAAAGAGCTTCAGAAGTCTATCTAAACATTGCATTTGCACGTGCATATACTTATAATTGCCGTGTCGCAACCGAGACAGATCGAAATAATTCTGATTGTACAAACTTGACGAAGACGACGAAGTTTCGGTGGAAGAACGAAACTTCAACGATTATTGACGACGGAATAGACTGTACGAGTATTGGTATACAAGAGGGGCGGGCTTCCGTTTTGAAGACACGTTAAATGTGTTGGTTGATGTATTAAAGGGAAGTTTGTACTTTGACACCCGTGTGGCGGAACTTTAGCATCAACAAGATATCCCGGAAGAACCTTGAAGATCACGGTCTTCACAAAGTTTGAACATCTTCTTCCGGAACATTTTCTGAGCTAATAAGTATAATAATATTAATTGAAAATCATTGAGGCTGTTATCAACTACCGACTACCACACGTGGAACATGAATTTAGAATATACATACATGTTGTACTTGTATTTGTACTGATTATCGTGACATAAACTGACGTGCAATTATAAACGAGTTAATCAGTTCCAGAATTGGAGGTTAAACAATTCAGAATCAGTAACTTAGCCGTAGAATGCTGATGTCCGATCGTGGACGGATGACTCTACTCGATGCCAGTAGTACTACTCAATCTGTGGCCAGGCAATAAAGGAAGTAACGCTTACGCCAGCGAGTTTCTCGCGATAGTAGGTGATCTTGGAAATGAAAAAAAGGGCGAAGAAAGGAATCTTACGATCTTGCTTTTGTACGCGAAGGAAATCAACTTGAAATGATTTATTGCCGTATAGCAACCAATGCTATCTCCATATAATTAAAAGATATATTCGAATAAGAAATCTCGTAACTGTGTAATCTTTCAACTTAGGCTCGTTCAATTTAAGCGTTCGTTTGTATAATTTTCATTAGGGAATCTAATTGGTGTGCCATGATAAGAAAGGTTCTCCAGAAGGAAATGGTTGAAATTTAATTTTTCATTACAGTCTCGACCAAGCACCGACGGCAATTAATTAAATCTACATCTAAAAAAAAAAATTTAATGAGATAAGATGCTGAGAATTAAACAGCCTCTGCGAAGGTCTGCAATTTCGATGCTCTTAAAACCTTAATCTGCAACAATTAAAAATGAAATAGCACGATGTCCGCGCAAGTAAGTCTCTCGTTTCGAAATATTCCAATTGAAAGTCAATTAGTTAATTAAACCAGTAAACGTGCACAATTTTTTGTTTTTCTTTCTGCATAGTACACGGAAGTTTTATCGCGATTGCGCACGAGAGGATACAAGTAACGTACGATGACGGCGTCGCATACACGTGTCCACGGCGATTCATAGAAAGCATTCTGGCGAGCAAAGCCTGTAAAGTATCGCGAAAGATTTTCCGAAGAAGAAAGATAAAAGGACATTCTCCCCGAAGGAGACCAGCAGCTAGGGATAAGGGCGGGTGCAGAGGGGAGGGGGACACTCGGATAAATTCAAAAAACTTTAAATCTCCTGAAAATCTCTGAAGCTGTCTAAAGCAAAGCAACCATAAATGAATCACAACGAAAGATATACAAAGGTATATATTATACATATAATAATAAGCATGCTCGTGTATGCCGTGTTTTCTGGCATTCATGTTTCCCATGACGTTAATTTGAATATTTCAGCCGCCGCTTGAATATTCCACGCATTTCGAATAAGTGAAATCAATTTCTATCTAGTCTTCATGTGAAGTTATTTACGTCGGTAAATTTCCATTTTAGACAATTGCACTATGCACAGTTCAACTTAAATTATTTTCTTAAACGTTAATTTGCGGAAAGATCAAAATGCCAGCCGTTTTAATTTTTAACGATATTACATTTTAATAAGTGCGATCGAATTGTACTAGTATCGGATTGAACTGGTTTCGTTAAGTTGAAAACGTAAGACGCTTCAGGATCTATCCTAAAATCGTGAAATCCGTTTCGTAGCTTCAAGAGCGATCGTTTGTTTTTGGGGGATATACTACACGATCTGAAATATCTCTTATGTTAGAACCATACAAGCCAGGAAGAGTCAGGTCAGTAGACGAAAGGTACATAAAGTGGCGTGTACAGTGGTGTCAATTTTCAGAGTATCTATCCACAATCCCGAGTTTTTCGATCAGTGATCGACAACGACCTCACTTTTAGATATTCAATCTTCTAATTTTGAACTTTTTATTTTTACTGCAGCAGAACATAAAAAAAAAACATAAATATCGTGCTGTTACTTATAAAATAAAATTCCCTTTCCTTTTTTATATTATGATCCAAAAGTACGATTTATATATGCGAAAGGACCTTTCTTAGCCGAATAAAGGAATATTAAAAAGTCACTAAAAGCTCTCCACTTTCATCGAGGGGTGGAGCTATTTAAATTTCTAGTAGCATCAAAATCGCTTATCGTAAAATAAATTACCGTAAAATATTTCCTTAACCATTAAAAAGAATAAAAACGAACTTGGAAATTTTGAAAGCTTTCAATACACACAAAAAATTGATACGCCATATTTTGCCTCCTTTGAAACCACACAACTTTTGTATCGAACATTAGACGCGTAATTTAAGAGTTATTTCAGCTATGCAAGTTACGTAAATTATCCTGTATGTATGATAGACTTCCAACTTTTTAAATAGAAACAAGCAATCCATTGTTTAAATTTAATTTTATAAATATGGCTCAATGGCCGTGCGTTATAGTTTACTTTGACATGGTTGAATTTATTGTATATCGGAAGACTTAATTTTAGAATATACATACACGTACATACGTAGGCGGGCGCGAGTTATATTTCAGTTCTTGCTTAATTCACTTGTAAACGCGGCGGACCGTGTTCGTAGTATCATGAGCAAGTAAGACAGATTTTCACGAGGACAGACTCTCCAGAGTGCCGGATGGTTGAATATATATACGGTGATTAACTCCTAGAAGACTAACAACTGTGCTTAATAACCACGATGCCCTTTCCAGTCACTTGTCATGCAAAGTTCAATCGACTTAATCCGATCCATTATTGAAATGAATTACGTAATAACCCATCGATATCGCGTGATTACTCGATTCTATGGACCGTCCCCAAATTATATTACATTAGCGTAGTTACATTTTGCCGGGTTATTATTCGATAATTTATCGAAACTCCGATACGATAAAAAAGAAAGTTTAATAATTATTAACAGTCGTTCGATTTCTATAATTAATGTCCTGTACACG